CGTCTTCCCCAACGCGCGGGGTTTCGTAGACCTTGAGCTCCTTCTCCAGGTTCAGCACTCCCATCTTGAGGATGCCCATCTTCATGTAGATGTCCGCCATCATCGGTGCACCCCCGTACTGGCCATCACGGGTGATCATGCAAAGCGGCTCCAACAGCGAGTAGAGCTGAAGAACATCGTTCTTGTTGTCGTCCTATTCAAGTGGAAAGACTTTCCCCTCGTCGCTGTACAGCTTTCTCAGGACGTGCCACAAGCGGATGATGCGCTCCATGGTGCGTACCATGCTGAGCCACTATTGGGGAGCGTGCTTCACGACCTTCAACACCTCGCCCAACAGCTCCGTCTGAAGGTCCTCGAACTTCGCCCTCAAGTAGGACGACTTGTTGAGGTTCTCGACCACCTTGATGACGACCTTGATGACATCGCGCGCCCCCGGGTTCTTGGACTTGGTGGGATCGGGATGGACGCCAAAGGCTTGCTCGGCGGCCTTGACCATCATGTGGCAAGCACACCAATTCCAAAGAACCCCATAGTGCGGGTGGAGGCCGTTGACGCTCACAGCCTTGACGTCCGATCCAGAGTCCGTAGTACCCGAGGCGAGGTCCGATGGGCTCAGGCCGACCTCGACGAGGATGGACTTGACGATCTCCAAAAGCACCTCCGAGGCCCTCGCCTCGGATAAAGCGCCCTGGTCGGGCGAGTATCGCTTGACCTGGGGTGGAATGCATAAGGGGAGGCATGGAGGACGACAGAAAAAAACGTTGAGATTTTTTGGCGAAGCAGGCAAAAACAGAAAGACAAAAAAATCCAACGTCTGCTCTCGATCTGTCCCTGAAAACCCAAGCGCAAAGGCAGCAATCAAATCCAACAAAAGGAAAAAAAAAAGGAAACCCGATCCTAATCCTCCCCGCCTTCATTTGAATCCCGAACGGGCTCTAACGGGAGAAAATCAACGTATGAGTGAGATTTGATCTTTATTGTGGATGACAAGTCTCCAACACGGAGCCGTCAGCCTCTGCCCACATACGTTTAGGTTTAGCCTTAGGTTTCACGCTCCAACACCAGAGTTAACACCCACACAGAGCAGGGCGTGCTTCATTTCGAAACTTGCGGTCACGTAGTAGAGGTGAACTCCCAGGAACTTCCGCCCCGAACCCTTTTCAGTCCAGATGTCGATCATGTGGTGCAGAACGGGAAGCGGTGCTTTCCGCACTTCCTCCAACATGTTGCCCACGACTACCTGCAGCGAAACGGCCCGTGTTGTGGGGTATGAACAAAACAAACATTAAAATACTTCAAGAAATACTTCTTTTTTATTGTTTCGATCAGTGGATCAGTGCTCACCGAACTCGCGCACGGTGGGAGCTGCATCCGTACCTATCCACAAAGTGAATTGAACCACACATTACAACTAGAGCTGGACTTTGAACATTAAACATAAAGTTGCACGCGAAGACTTAAAAAAACTTCGCCGTCGATTGGCTTTAGCTTTCCACCAGCTTAAACTGTAACTCAGGCAATTAACTTTTCACCTTTTTCGTGGCCACGTACAACTCGGTGAGAAGGTGTTTCACACGCCGCGGCCGCAGTGGCGGGAAATCGGAATCCCCGATAAGCGCCAGCAGCGTCCTGAGCTCATCCCCACTGGAGAAAAAGGACACCGGCAGCAACTTCTCCACGAGGAGCCTCATCGCCAACAGTTCCTTCACCCTGCAAACAAAAAAGCAGCAGTGGAGCAAATCTTTCAATTTCAATTGAAAAAGCTCCACACTCCAGAAAATAGAATACGAATATAGATATTAAATTTTATTTAGAGCAATGGCCAAAAACGGGTGTACCCGGAGGGTTTCCGGCCAAAAACGGGTATCCAATGATAACTAGACGAAATTCCCACCACACACCCGATCTTGGCCGCATTTCCGCCGGGTATACCCGATTCTGCCTCCTCACCCCCGCGTTGGCTACCCGAATGGAATGCGTGTACCCGAAGGTGGCCACAGGAGACTACCCAAAGAGTAGCCTACACTCGCACAATAACCCTACTCGGCTTCGGGTGCGGGACAGCTACCAGTGTGTGTGGCGGGGACGCGTGTGTAGAAGCACACGTGTCCCCGTCAGGTCAAGATCGATTCGGGGAAGATCCAAGCAAAGATCGTGCATATCCTGCACAGGTCGGGCTACACGGGCTTTGCAGCAGCTGAAAACCGCAGGCAGCAGCTGAGGAAACGACAACAAGCACAGTGGGGGGGAAGTAGAGACAGAAACGACAGCACAGACAGCATCGACCGGAGTGCGGTGGTGGCACGTGTGCACAGACACACACAGGGTGGTGCCTGTCCCGTCGACGTGCTTGCTTTGCGGAAGATCCAAATAGAGTTGATCGGAGATTGTGCGAAAAAGTCGGCCTGGAAGGTTTCCGAGGAAGAAGAGTTCAGGCACCGAGAGAGGAAAATCCGCGTGGAGAAGCGTGGAGAGATATATATCGTGGAGAAGGGAAACATAAGAGGTAGCAGTGAAGGGGCTGGTAGAGGTGAGAGCTTGTTGAAGTCAGTTTGGATCCATTGCGGCGACGATCCACTGATCGTAGATCGTACAAGCCGGATCCGCCGCAAATTGCCCACAGCGGAGGGCGCAGCAGCAGCAGCAGCAGCAGCAGCGGCAGAGGCAGCCACACGTACCGACGAGAGGGCAACATCGGAACACGTGTGCGCGACACACACACGTGGTCCCGGAGAGAAGTTTTCGAGAGATCCAAACAAAAGCTCGATCGGAGATCCTGCAGCCTCGCTTCTGGAAGAGTCAGCGGCAGGAGCAGCTCAGCGTGGTGAGAGGAAGATCAGGGGACAGGCAGCAGCAGCAGCAGCAGGACGAAGCAACAGTCAAAGGGGCCGAGGAGAAGGCAGCTTCGAGACACGCGTGCTGGGAGCACAAACACACGTGGAGGCCCGAACGGAACTGTGCTCGCGAGCCCGTGATCGATCGGAGATCGAGCAAGGCGGTCGCTAGGTCCAGCAGCAGCAGACGGAGCCGAGATACCGAGAGCAGGATGTTTGCGGCCTACGCCACTTTTTTATCGGGTGAGAATGTTTTGGTGATGGATAAACTTCACGAGAGGTCGTCGACCGTCCTTCACCCGGACGAAAGAGGGAGTGCTCAAAGAGCGGCTCCAACAGCAAGGAGGGG